GTTATCCTTAGGATAACCTACAGTTACCATTTTTATCTTTTACATATTACAAAAAAGGGGTTATTTACTATATTTAACTATGCAGTATTATTCCTTACCCGTGCCTCACCAAGGTTCTCCGTCTGGGTGAAGCACGGTGACTTGTAGATGACGTTATTGTACAGTGATGCAGTAAATTGTTTGCCTTTTATGTAGGATTATATATATGTCATTTATTTATATATTTTGAATTAAGAGTTCAAAAACTATGTATATGTTACCCTAAATAAATTACCAACAGTGATATCGAAAAATACCTATTGTTTAGACTTTCCGCAACTAAACGTTGTCGTAAACAACACAAAAAAGGCTATTTTATTTTAGATTCGCAAATCCAATTAATGAATAATAAAATTTCGTAGTAATGATCATCAGTTGGAGCATGGAACCATTTATAGTGTATGTAGTTATATTATAGTGTAACTAGTTTATAGTAGGAAATTGGAGGACATACGTCCGTCCCCGGGTGGCAGGGGCCGTGCCTATAAATTTTATATTTAAAGATATCGTGTAGTAAAGTCTAATCAAAATTATAATAATGTCACAAAGAAAATCAGGCACATTCCAGATAGTTCGATTAGCCGCGCATTTCCGGGAACCGTTTAATAATAATGCAGGTTGGCACGGAACAATTAGTTTTATGCCAATACGCATAAAATCGAAAAAAGATTGTTTTGATTTTGTTTACATTCGAAACGAATTTTTATTTCTCAGAAGCGGACGGTTCTCATAGGGATTGGAATTGCTAGAATGTTATTTTACGAGTATTATTAATACGGACACGTCTTCTTTGGAGTTAGTTCAGTGCAAGCTACAGTGCGATAAATATCGAAGCGATTGAAGTCAAACGAAATGTCACCCAGCGTCCTCAGCGATCATTCCAGACTATTCATGAGTATTGTGTAAACGTTTTTAAGTGTAGTGACTTTATTATAAGTGTGTTTAGTCGTCAGGAGGCTTATTATTCCAAATCAACGAACCCTAATACGTAACAATATAACTAATTACTTCACACTAAGACCACATTATTATCTACCCCTGCGAAGCTGGGGTGGGTCGCTAGTATTTCACATTCAGATTGCTTTTTAAGAAAAAAAAATACAAACTGAAATCTGCTGTGTCATAGTTTACGGATCATAAAGGTACACTGAGACGAATTGTCTACACCATCAGAGACATAGCCTTTGCCTCCAGACATTACATACTCGTAGTCAATAACAAAAAGGGTGTACTAGTGTAGCTATGTAACAAAAAGCGATTACAAATCCTAGCCCCTTTTCAAATTTAGCCTTAGATTATAGCAAATTTCTTGAATATAACACTTCAAGAAATCTGCTTTGAATGGTTCAAATTTGGAAATATTTCCAACAATTTTATAACGGGAGTACCATAATAGTTTATTCAAGTATTAAATGCAACATCACACGGTCGCAGCTCACTACCTTTTCGATCTAAAAAAACATAGCACCAACGACCTGCTCGGAAACTCCTTTGGGAATATTTCTACTTATTTTGATAACCTAGCTACCACAAATAAGTTATCGATTAATCCATAGTGTAGCTTATCGCGATATATATATATATATATTATGGACATCTTGCCTTACATTGCATATTATGTTTTCCACTAAAATTTTGTTCCTTTTTTAACCTCTGCCATAATTTAGTATTCCTTAGATATCTATCGTGGAGAATCGATTTTCATTGGACGAGATGTCTGTTTAAAAAAATAAAAAAATATTTCATATCTCTAATAAAAAAAGACGAAGTGTTTATTCGCCCGTATTTTTTTTAACCTCAAATGTAAATTGGAAAACTTGCGCTAGTACGGAAAAACAGGTTTTAATCAAACATAACGAACTGCTCGGCTGTTCTATTTTACACAGTCAAGAGCTAGCTGTCGGTATAGGAATTTGTAAATTAAATTATTAGAATTAAGAATGCGGAGTATAAAATCCCTCCTAGCGACCGAGTGCAGGTACTTCCCAAAGCATCCATGTCCGGAAAGGACCTGCGTCCCATTCGACGATGACCGGCTGGAACGCCTCCACGGTGGCAAAACCAGTAGGTTTTGGCTCGACGAGCGGCCTCGAGTACTTCTTCGGGCGGGGGCCGACTGCCGCTAACCGCCCGGAACTGAGTCGTCCGCCGATATACTTCGGCGAGCACTTCTTGCTTACTTGGTGCGGTAACCGCCAATACCCTCTGAGGACGCCAATAAGTACATCCTATTATTGCAGTAATGGTTCGCATTTACGCGGGAGCCACATTTTTTTAGGTTAGAATTGGCTATCGTGTAGTTACGCTGACAACAAAATGTCACATTAAAGTTAACATTACCTATGTCCCTTTCCCATGTGCGATGTTCTATTTTTTTTAAACACAACTCCCGCACTAGGATTATATCCCGTTTAGCTGCGTACTTTACAATAAACGGACAAAAAAAATATCAAGACTCATAACAACAATTTGTGGAACAAACAAAGTGTTGTCCCATATGGGGGTCGAAACCAATATACTCAGCGCAGTAGTAAGCGGCGAGGTGACCTCTTAAACCACTACGCCATCCGTGCAGTCATTTAGATACACCACTACATGAAGAGAAAAAATACCTTTGTAACAAGATAACAATGCTGCTTTTTTCTTGAACTAACAGTCAATATTAAGTAACTTCTTAAACCATCATTTTGAAAAAATTAAATTACCTTTTTGAATATTATTTTAGCATAGCCATTTATTTTTCCATCATGTTTCTTTAGGTTTTGGAACGGTTCAGATCTAAATTTTATAAGAGAAAAAGTAAAAACACATTTATATTTTTATTTATTTATTTATTAAATGACAACAACATTTTAAAACCATAAATCGATGGTGACATTAATTGACACTATATCTATCTGAATGAAAAATATGAATATAGATAGGTTGACATTGTCCTGGTCAGGTTTTACACTACAAGGGTTCGTACTATCTATCCTACCTACCTAAGTACTATCGTTCGTTTACTATCTATCCAAAATGAATTCTAGTGACTGTTCATAAAAGATTTTTGTAACACTGCAAACTCATACTTTCCAAGATGTACAGAACTATAATTTATAACCGCTAATATTTAGATATAACCGAGGAAAAAAGGCAAATAAACCTCTTGATGTTATATCAATCTTTATTTAATTAATAAAGAAAAATACATTCGGAGGTCAAAATAGTTGTTTTTTTTTCACAAAACTTTCATCATTTATTACCTCCCCATAACTGCACCTACCTGATCCTTTCTCTGCATCACCCGATTGGTCGAATAGCAGAGAATGCCTAAGGCATTAATTCCGATGATGCATATATTTTGTGCATGAATTTATAAATAAATAAATAATTAATTAATATCAAATATCTATTTAGGTTAACTGCTATAGACAACTTAACATGTTTCGTATAATCTCAATGTTTGAAAAACAATTACCAATTGCATAAAACATGAAATGTTTTGACACGTTAGTGTCAAGAGACTTTATATGTAAGTTCCTTTAAGTACCAATCTAAAACTATGTTCCCACAAGTCGACTTTTGACTTCTGATCATCTTCATGACTTCTACATATATTTTTTTTAACATTTATTTAACTCTCTGCATCGTTTATCAAAACTCGACTCGTAGTATCAGTACTTATTTTGAATTTTTACTTATAAATACTGATTAGTATTATATACGTCAAATCCTTAAAGATAATTTGTCCAATCCACGGAGGCGAACGACTTTTAGACGTGCCTTAGTTAATATGATTAAAACAATGACAATTTGGCACTATAATTTTGTTACTAAAAGTTTTTCCCTTTATTAAATGCAGGCGAGTTGAAATTTTAACGCACATTATTAAATAAAACTAGGACGTATAGATACCATTGGTTTGTGAGGCTATTCTGATCTTGTCGCATTTGACATTTCACACATATTGTACCTATTGTATCATAGCCTAGAATTGTAACCGAAGACATGGATAGTCTGTATTAACAATATCAGATCCGAACTAATTTGACCAAAATAATTTTTTTACATTGTGGTTGAATGATTATGTAAATGTATATCTGAAACTGTCAATCGAGGCCAATAAGTACCTCTATATCTTAAATTTTGCGATTTATCTTCACAAGGACTTGGGATGAATTTCGTAAAGATAAATTTGCATAAAGCTATGATGATATGATGATAAAAATTACTTATTAACTTCAACTATGTGTTTAAAATTGTAGTTTGCGACCTCTATATGTTGTTATTGCAAATCACTCTTACAAAATTGAAAAATTCACAATTTAAATAAATTTCTGATATAAAAAGATTATCATGTATTGTGAAATGATGAATGAGAAAAATTTGTGACTATTTGATTGTAGTATTTGACCTCTAAAAATATTCTCATCATTTATATCACTTATTTGGCACATTACTATAAACTTATCATAATATTACGCAAAAATATCTAGAATGAACAGGTACAGGGAAGAACTGGATTATTTCCTCAGAAACGGCAGTGGATTTGTCCTACGATTTGTTTTTTTTTATGATTCCGAGATACCTATTCTACGACCGAGAAATATGTAATAACGTTTCTATATCAAGAAAAAAACGATAGGTGGTTGTAAAACTTTCTTATATATATTATGAATTCTCTATTTACATCTATTGGTAGACGAAAGTACTAGTTCTACATAGGTACTCAGAATAATATTAAAAATTAAAAAAAGGGATTTACTTTAGACAACACTTAAATGCTAGACGCTAAATAAACCTAAATGTTTTCGTTCCATAAATCATAAAAGCGTTTAACGTGTGAAATTACAAAACGTACGTATTTGTTCCCGACAGGTCGAATATCATTTAAATTCTCTGGGTTCATAATGTACTCTCTTAACATTATCGTACTCGATTGGGACAATTTTGAATACAAGTCTATTTAAGTTTTGCCTTTAGACTACAAGGTATATGAATAATGTAGCAACGAGAAAGTCTTTGCACAAAGAGGTTGCGCTATTCTCGTTAGCTGGAAGAAATGAGCTTGGAGCGGCAGGGGCTGACACGGCGTTATTGTGAATTTTCGACTCCTCGTATGACCCACTTCCTTCACTTTCGTCCTCATCATCATCAGATGGAACTGTTGGCTGTTGCTTTAAAGCCTCAGCTCTTGGTCTCTCTGAATCTCGTAACATTAACTGTACGTTCATCTTTGTAGGAACAGATACTAAGGTAGGTTCTAAGGAAGTTCTTGCTGTTGCTTGAGGTGCTTTAGACTCTTCTGTAATTTTTTCTTTAGGAGTTTTATCCTGATTTGTGTTATTAGCATATTTAAATAACGAATTACAGATATTAAGTTGCTTCATATCTGTATTATTTGATGGAAAGTTGATTAATACATTTCGCCATTGAGGAGGAAACGGTACGTTACAAAGATGAGTATTGCAAACCCACATAACTACGAAGGAAGAGTTTGACGGAGTCCTCACTGTACACGGCGTATTCACAACGGGAGCGCAAATCAACGATGAATGGAAATCTGTTGGAAGAATAAAATAAATTTAATATTCCATCTGATTACTCGCTAAGCGGTTCAAATCTAAAAAAGTATGTCTCGTATCGTGAGCTGACTATAAAGAAATATGATAATTTTCCGCCCGATTTCGTTTACCACGCTTATTCAACTCACAAATAACATTACCATCTCGCTGGAAAGGCAATTTTTCTTTGACAGAGTACCAAAATATTAGAGTGTAATGAAATTATAACTTAAGGAGCTATTATTTGTACCCATTAACATGCAATACGCAATAGGTTTCATTTTAATGTGTTCTACTTCTTTATTATAACACATAAATCGCTTTGCAGATCACAGAAAATAAATTATATTATATTTGAAACTAAATTATATTTGTTTTAGATATAAACTTTAGAATTATCGAGGATATTAATACTGACCCGGGGCAGATGCGGTAGTGGCACACAGGGGACGTTTAGTGGTGCATGTGACCAATGTCCAAGAGCTCGAATCTTCACAGGATGTTGTGTCGTTTGCACGACAATTGTAGCATTGACTCGGTGGTATATCTGAAATAGATAACATATCAGTTAATAAAGTAATACATCGCTATTTACATATAGAAGTAAGATGCGCAAAAGTGAAATTATTTAAAAAACTAGAATCTGAAATGAAAGTAAGTTCTTTTTTAAAATTTACACATCTGTAGACTCAGAAAACTAACTATTTGGCGATAGTTGTCGTATATTACTTATTACGGCGTTAATTTGAACACTCGATTCGTCCAATAATTGATAGACGTCTTAGATCTTCTTTTCGCAAAAACAGGATATTCAAATAAACACGGACTGTAGTGATTCGAATTTCCTTTGACTGAATCTAAACGTAAATCAAGCGAGATATAAAGAAACTAAATAAAGCTGTAGTGTATTTCTCCAGTGCAAATGTAATTCCAAACGACAAATATCTTACTACGGAGTGAGGTGCACATGTCGAACAAATTCGATTAGGCTTTGTCAGAAAATTGGATGTGAGCCAACAGAAAAAAGAACAAGCTACTGTAGCCCAGGTAATGTACACAACAACAATAAAAACAGAGTGACGTTTGTTAACGACGCGACGTACTATTTTTTTATTACTTTTTATATTACAATTTATCACTGACAAGCAAAAGCAAGACACAAATTTTTAAATTGCTTATAACACACCGTATTGTTTTAAATATTACTATAATTTTAAATTTACATTCCAGCTTTTAAATTTCATGACAAAAAAACATAAGAGCATGTGTACGTACGTCACTATATAAGTTTTAAGATGCTTGAAATTTGAATATGGAATGCATCTGTGTCATATTATTAAAAGGCAAATTTATTTGAAAATCGAACACAAAATGCCATTTACTGCAATAAAAAAATTAGAAGTATTATAATGTCATTATTGCCAGCTTTTTCGTCTGTCGTCAATGGAGCTTAAACATGAACTTTTGCATGCTATGATATATTACGACTTTAAAGTATAAACCGCCAAAGACAATACGCAACATCCCATGTAGGTGATATACAAACATACACTATTTATTTTCACTATAAACAATATTTATACGTATATATTTAATTTTTATTTACAATGTACAATATATAATTCAACACACATTATAAACAAATAAATATTACATTATTATAACTATTAGTATTTATCCACAAACATTTTCTACACGGCCGACGATGTTACAAAATGTAGGTAGACGTGTAAAATATATTTTACGTTGGACCTACCACGAGTGACAACTTGCGACCGCCGCGATATAGTATCCGGTGCCGTGCGCAAAATATATTGGTAGCTATTATGATATCGATCCCTACAGTTATTTCTATATTGTTAATCGTCTGTGTATTCTATCTGTTGTGTTGTATATACTTCCTACCGTTTTAACTATCTTATTGTGTGATATTGTAATTTATGTGTCGTGTGTGTACGGTGAACATTAAAGTTATACCAGTGAACAGGATTGTTTGCTTTATAACTAACCGTAAGTAATATTACACCCTAAACACCGAACTGGAACTACTCACTACTGGCACTGGAACGCTCCACAACAGGGCATAGACAGCTGACTCATCATATATCGACCTCCGGTCTTGGAGGGGAGTGATGTGGCGTCTCCCACATACAAAGAAACAGAAACATACTACAGCGCCATCTAATGAAGACACACCGAACTACGGAGTAACTACTAAATAAGAATTGCTAATCCTGTATCGCGATATGAAGAATACCCTCGCTGATTAGCATATATACAACTTCCCAACATCAACCGTTGGGCCGCGGCCCGCCAGACATGATCACCTCGCCTGGTCGGAGGATCCTCCCTTTATGTTGGAGTAACAAGACAGCCGTTCCTCCACATCCCACAATGCGCAAACTGTTAGCCACTGATTTTTTGTGGTCATATTGCTATATGACCACACACAATCATACTACCATCGCACACCAAGGTGTATTAAATACGCTGGAAATCACACATTTGACAACTGAACAAATCAAAGAACGTTCAGACTCTGTAAAATGCGTCCTTTGTAACGGAAATCACCCGGCGAACTATAAAGGATGTTTTGTCTAAAAAGAACTGCAGAAATAAAAGTACCCTTTTCTAAAAAAAACCAGAACGCTTACAAAAAAAGGCGTAAAAACCGTCAGCGAGCATCAGGACAACACAACTACAGCCAGGCGACCAAAAGAACTACACAGACGCTCTAAAAACCCCTGAAAGCGATCTAAACCCTACAAACGGTGAACGACTTACGAACGAAAACCAATGAAATAAAACATTTGTTGGAAATGTGTGTAATAACTTATCTCTTAAGAAATTAATTGACTATTATGAGTAAAAATTCAACCAATTAAAAATAGTTGCCAATGGCTTACCACGACACTACCTAGAAGTCAAAATGTTTCTTGCGACCAAAGAAGTTGACATACTTCTAGTATCAGAAACTCACTTTACAAAAAAAAAACATTTTTTAATATTCCAAAATAAAAGATGTATCACACCATGCTCCTGGATGGTAAAGGCGTCGCAACATACGTCATTATGTCATTATGCTACATAACACATCAACAGCCTATACTAGTCCGCTGCTGGACATAGGCCTCTCCTTAGAAAGGAGATTTACATACAAAAAGAGGTCTACATACTCTTACCAAACTGAACAAATACAAGCTACAAACATAATAGTCGAGGATGACAAAGGCCCGCTACTATATATCCCTCTCGAGCACAACATGAAATGTGACGATTACTCTGTATTCTTTAATACTTTGGGACAACGGTTTGTGGCCAGCGGAGACTTCAATGTAAAACTCAAGTTACAACTCCCAAAGGACGCCAACTTCTAAAATCGGTACAATCTTTTAGATTAATGGCTACCTCTACTGGCGAACCAGCATATGACTTTGACCTTGTGGACTACTTTATTAGTAACGGGCTGCCCTCCTCTTCAATCAAGTGCAGCTCTTGCTTCGAGATTTCTTCTGATCATTCACCAGTAATAGTCAAGTCAATTTCTCGGTGGAAAATATAGATAAGATAAGTATTTGCGAATCATCTATCAGAAGTATTTACTCCAAATAATGATTGCGGATCCTCGAAGTTGAATGACGTTTGGAAGGTACTTACCCAACTACACCAAAGAGACCTGCCTATTAAAAAGAACGCCATAAGGGAAGTTATTCGAGCCATCAAGAAACTCGATGTTCACAATGTTCCTGGATATGACCTGATCACGGCTAAAATCTTAAAAGAGCTGCCAGACATAGGATACAAATATTTCACTCAACTATTCAATGCTTGTCTTTGAAAAAAAAATCTACCACAATGGAAGGTGGTGGAAATTATTCTAATTCCTAAGCCTGATAAAGATGCTACTGATGTTAAGTCTGATCGTCTAATCAGCTTCCTCCCGACGACGTCCAAGTTCTTCCCACAGCACGAGAACAGGTACACAGAATCGTAGAAAAAAATATGTAATGAAATAAAGCTAATGAAACTAAATAAGTGCACGTAACATTTAGCTTTCAGCGTGAAACATGTCCCAAAGTAGAGCTCAACCACATTAAAATACCACAGCTTGATGACGTAAGATACTTAGGCGTATACCTGGACCACATATTCAAATAAAAAGAAAAGCATTTGATCTGCAACTCTGCAAGTTGCAATGGCTAATGGGCCGAAAGTCGCAACTAAATTAAATAAAATTTTTGAACCTATGGCTTTCAGATGTGAGGTACTGGATCCTCATCAAACATAGAGATCCTGCAGCGGTTTCAGTTAAAAACTCGCCAAATGATAACTGGAGCACCCTGGTACATAACAAAAATGTGTGTCCACAAAGACCTGAAAAATGAGTCTGTCTCTCTACCTAAATACTCAGAAATATTAAATCGAGATCCAAACCTTCTGTTAAGAGATCTTATGCTAATAGAGCCAAACTCTACCTTTAAGAGGCTGAAAAGACGTGCTCCTCAAGACCTTACTGCCCGAGGAGCTAGCGCTAATTTGGACATATCATTGGATACTGTGTCATACGCGGCCGTTGCTCAACTTATTAAAATCCACCTTCATGTCGTAGAGACAGATTGCAGGACAAAAGCCAAATTAAAAGAAAACAGCTTTAGGTGCAACCATTTTTAAATAGTTTAACAAAATTTAAAAGGGGAAAAATTGCCTTGAAGATGATGACAGAAGTAGACGTCCGCCAATAACTGAAAATGTGTGCACTACTGAAATGCTTGTGCAAGATGACACACATACGACAGGGACATAGAGAAAATCTTAGGCATCAGTTCCGTTAGTGTTCATAACATATTACATGAACATCTTAGAACGAGGAAGATTTGTTGTCGTTGGATACATCGTTTCTCTCTGAAACAGACAAAGAAGCCCGTGTGGAATGGTGGCGTGAGATACGTCTGTTTTTAAAATGGGAGGTCAAGACGTGTTCCTGAAATCATTACTGGCGACGAAACATTGATATATTAATATGATCCGGAAAGTAAGAAGTGTTCTTCGGTACGGGTGTTTCCAGATGGCCAGTTGCCAACAAAATTGCAGAGACTGCCGCACATTTCCAAAAAAATGGTGGCCACTTTTTTTCACGGAGGGGACCATCTTGCAACATCAACGGTAGAGAATTGTAAGTCTTTTAAATCAGAAAGGTACACTACAGTAGCAATTCCAAAAGTTTTCAAAACTGTGCAGGAGAGACGACCAAAGACCAGGCTCTGGTTTATAACGCTGCACCATGACCATGCGTCTTCACAGTCTTTGCTCAGAACAAAGGCGTTTATTACAGCCCCGACTTAGCTCCTTGTGACTACTTTTTATTCCCCACCATAAAAGATAAGTGGTGGTTGCTTATGAATCAGCCATTTTTTAACTGTCAGAATAAGACTGGAATAAGTATTTCCAAGACTAGTCTAGGCTGATAGAAATTTGAATAGAATGATGGTAAGTATTTTAAGGAAATATGATATTATATAAATTGTAAGTATACATTGTTTACTTTTTACGTGTCTCAAAATTTATATAGTGACCTACGTATTTAGTCAAATTTTATTTAATGATGATAAAAAGAACAGTCAATTATGGTACAAAAAGCTTTATATGATATTAATATTTTCACACATTTCATTACATATAAAATCATCCTTAAAATGATATTGTATTCTATATTGTTGTACAGGATGTCGTTCTTATTGCATTCTTAAAATTAATACCATAAAAAGGGATTGTGAGGTTAAAGTAAAACTAAAGGTCGACACATCTGTTAAACAGACCAGAAAGTGTGAGAAAGCGCTTGATTGTACTTTGGAAACGATTGCCTATGGCGTAGGACAGTCGGTCTTGGGGGAGTGGAACAGCGAGTAGCTAGTCTTGGGAACTACGAGAGGGAGGTTCTGTTGTCAGAGCTGAACGTTTCACTCGTGGGT